CATGTATGTATAATATGTCCAAATACATTCTACTGTCATGTATACCTAAAATAAAAAAATAAAAGTTTAACTAGGTATAGGAATGTGAAGAAAATGGAAATATTATTTGCCACAGTTCAGAACTATCAGATCCTTTGTTATTGATGGAAAAAAATGAAAACACGACTTCTGAATGGCATTACATCAGTGATCAGGACCTCAGTTTATGCATTTGCTACATGTTATTGAATGTCTGGCATTAATAGGCTTAGACTCTTCTTTGAGAAAGATAGTGATGGTCTATGTTGACAGAAGTTGGTCATGTTGACAATCAGATGGTCATGTGTCATTTTGATCTGAACATGTGTGAATGTCAGGACTGTTAGCAAGTTTCCCAACGAATTTAAATTGTTACATTTTGATAAAATAGAAATATATGAATCTGTAAAAACAACAACAACAACAGATTCTACTTCTGGCCATGATGGACACAAGAACTGGATTTAAATTCCTGCCACGAACAACTAGAAACTGAACCAGAACATATAAAACAAATGTTTTCAGACACTGGAAAACAGACAGCACAGTGATATGACACCTGATCAAGAGGAAACAAATGAGTTAAACACCATGATTTTCTCAACTATCTGTAAGGAGGCAATTTCCAGATCCCAGACACTGGAAGATAAACCCAGTATCTGGGGATCTGGATGAAGTGAGGGAATAGAGGTCAGAATTCACAGATGCAGAGGAAGCTGGAGTTTTCAGGCAGTTTTGAGGGGGTGAAGCTGATACAGGTTTTAAAAACCAGGTCAGGTCCTCATTCCCCCAGCGTTGAAGAGTACATATCAAGAAATGCCAAGGCAAGAGCAAAGTAAATTTTATTTAAGAAACAGGAGAGGGACAGGAAGAGGGAGAGACAGAGACAGAGACACAGGAAAGAAGAAAGACTCCTCCAGAGAGGATGGGACCCAGCAGAGTTGGTGCTGGAGGGAGAGGGGTATCTTGCCCCTTTATAGATTTTAGGTTTCCTTTCTTCTCATGCCTAACTGACCAAAAGTGACCAAAAGGCAGGAAGAGAGCCATCCAGGGTGTGATTGCTTGTGTTGGAAAGTGTGATTCTTCTGCTCCCCCAGAGGCTATTAGCAACTAGTTAATGGGGAAGTGATATTTACCTGTTTCTTTTTCTTTAATAATCAATACCTGTCCTTTGCCCTGGTCTCATTGGTGAAGCTATGCAAAAACAAAACAAAACAAAACAAAACCCCCCAAACCAAAAAACTGAAGGAACTTCATAAATCTGAGTGTTTCCTAAATACTTGGCTGTGCATGCATACATTGAAAAGTCACAGAGCCAATTATAGAATGACCAGGGAATTGTAAGCTAGATAATTCCCAGAGCTGGCAGGGAGAATTGCAAACTCTGACCAGCAACAGTGGACAGTCCTTTGTGAAAACTAAAGAATTCAATGAAGACTGCTGGGTAGTCATTACATAGTGGTAGTGCAAAATTATCCCCTAAATGCTTTATGAGGATTACTTTTTTATTCTCACAACAATTCTGAGATATATACTATTAAATATTTTATAAATGAGAAATTTGGATCATTAACAAGTTTGCAAATGAACTATTACCACAATAATACAGTATACTAAGCTACTCAAAACCTCAGTGGTTTAAAACAATACTCATTTATTTTCACACATTTATAATTTGGCTGTTCTGGACTGGGCACAGTTAGTCATCTCTTTATTTCACTGAGAGGTCAATCCAGGACTGAGGATGTAGCTCAGTGGTAGAATACTTGCTTAGCCAGTTTGGAGATTCCCCAAAAAACTAGGGATATAAACTCCATATGACCCAGCTCTCCTAATCCTGGGAATTCTCCCAAAAGATCTAAAAGTGGCAAACTACAGCAACACAGCCACATCAATGTTTATAGCAGCACAATTCACAATAGCTAAATTATGGAATCAATACAGATGCCTGTCAATAGATGAATGGATTGAGAAATTATGTTATATGTATAATGGAGTTCTACTCAGCCATTAAAAAGAATGAGATTATGGCATTTGCCTGTATTGATGGAAATGGAGAATATCATGCCAAGTGAAATTAGCCAAACTCAGAAACTCAAAGGTTGAATGTTTTTTCTCATATGCGGAAGCTAGAGTAAAATAAAGAAAAGGATGATGGAAGAATAGAATAACATAAAGAACCAATCAAATAAAAATTAGTAGGTGAGCAAAAGGAAGTTTAGTGGAGTAGAGGAAGGAGAAATGGGGAGAACAAGAGGGAAAATGGTGAGGGAAAAGGAGGGATCATGAACTGAAATCAATTTCCAGTTGGATGAATCCTGACAAACCATATATATAACCATAAGGTTCTAAAAAATGTATATATATATATGAGCTTGCTTAGTATGCATGAGATTTTGGGTTCAATCTCCAAGACAAACAAACAAATTAGTTCAGGCAATTCTGTGCATATGCATCTCATTCTTCTCTTGGGACCAAAGAGCTGGTCAGTGTATGTTCTCATGGCAATTACACAAGCTCAAGAGAGAAGTTATTAGTATTAGACTTATGTGGTCCTAATGCATTGGCTCTGAACTTGGCACATCATCACCTCCATCAGATCTCACTGGCCAAAGCAAGTCTTGTGGCTAAGCTAAAGGTCAAGGTTCAGGGAAGGATACTCCACCCAAGTCTGGGGCAAGGGTGTGGCTGCAGGGAGAAATAAAGAATTAGGGAGAATATAAAAACTAAACAATATTTCTAAAGTCATAACTGTTATAGCAGAGATTCAGTTTGGCTGCATATAGAGTTTGTCTTAAGTCTTAATGAGATTAGGTTTATTTTCTCTGATGTTACAGGAAATCTGGAGTAGCTAAACATGAAGCTGAAATGGACTCCTTGTGATTTCACCAGAATTCAGACTCCTTTTTAATTTTTGTTCTACTACCCTTCGGGTGTGACCCTCATCTTCACATTCATAATAAGGATACTGGAGTTTTAGTCAAAATATTATTCTTATTTCAGAAGGAAAAGGGAAGGATATAGACATAAAATGACAAGGCTTTCCCCAGATTCCTCATTCAGTGATTACATTCACATTCCATTGGCCAGGACCAAGTTACAGGCCACATCTTGCTGAAAAGGGGGTTGAGAGATCTTTTTTATTTTCAAGAGAGTACTATTGGGCTGGGGTTGTAGCTCAAAGGTAGAGCGTTTGCCTTGCAAGCGTGAGTCACTGGGTTTAATCCTTAGCACCACATAAAAATAAAGATATTGTGTCTATCTACAACCAAGGTGGGGGGATATGAGAGAGAGAGAGAGAGAGAGAGAGAGAGAGAGAGAGAGAGAGAGAGAGCGAGAGAATATACTATCATTCTCAGTACAGAGTTAGTAAGGAGGGAGAAGAAAATGATATTGAATAGGGAATTAGCAGTATCAGACACATAAGGAAGTATTTATGCCAGGGTTTGTACTAGTTTAAAATTATACTTAACATGATGAAATTATTCTTACCATCTTAAAAATATTTAATGTTTAGCTTATAAGTAATATATACTTTACATGTTAAGTATATTTGTATACTTAATTGAATTCCGTCTCTATAAATAGCCAGAATTTTTTTTAAATTTATTTTTTAGAAGTAGTTGAACACAATACCTTTATTTTATTTATTTTTATGTGGTGCTGAGGATTAAACCCAGGGCCTCGCATGTGCTAGACAAGTGCTCTACCACTGAGCCACAACCCCAACCCTTAGCCAGAATTTTTCCTCATTAATTTTTAAAATTTTATTTTACAGATCACAAGACAGTATATACTCTTCATAGAAAATATAGAAATACATAAAATAAATAAAAATTTATTTACCCATAATTCCATCCTCAGATACAAATACTTCTGTGATATGGATAAATTGACTTATAAACTTTTTTTTATGGACACAATATCTTTGTTTTACTTATTTATTTTTAATGTGGTGCTGAGGTTTGAACCCATTGCTTGTGAGGCAAACGCTCACCACTGAGCTACAACCCCAGTTCTGAACTTTTTATATATGATGTGCATGTGACTATAGTTGAGTTTATATTATGTATAATTTTTGCATTTGAATTTTAAAAATACAAACACACACAAAGTTATTGTTCATATTATTTTTAATGATTAACATTTCATTTTATCAATATTCCTTAAATATCAGATGTTTGGATTTCCAGGGTTGTGCTATTACAAAAATTGCTGCCTTGAACATCTCTTTTAACATAGGTTTCATCTACGTTTCAGGAAGTTTTCTAGGAAGAAATAAATAAAATTTACTGCACATTGACCTGTGTATTCTTGAGTTTTGTGTAATGTCCTACTAATCTCCGAACACCCTTAAGTATACTATGCGAATTGCGTTCACAATTTGAGAAAATTACTGTTTAAAAATGAGCCTTAGTTATTTGAGACTCTGTTGTTAATGTCTGTTCAACTTTGTTCCACACTTTCATATTTGAAGGTGAGCATAACGAACATTATTTTTAAGTGAGAAAACGACATTATCCCTACTCCTACACAGAGGGTCCTTATCCTGTGCTTCTAAAATGTGCAGTTTAATTTGTTTAAATATGCAGTTTCATTTGTAAACCTTGGGAATTTTGGAGCATCCCGTTACAGACCCCCTTTCAGTAACAGTGCATTAAATAAAACTGCATTATTTTTTAAAACTAGATACTTTTATAAGAAGCCTATTAAGGATCCCAATCTCTTCCCTCACCCCTCTATCCCTCCACTTTTAAGTCATCCTCTAGGTTCCCGCGCTAGCCAGTTCATATTCTGGTTTAAAACCTTCGTGTCCACATCTTAACCTTTGAGGTGTGGCACGAGCGAACGTGCCTTTCTCGGTCTGAGATTTCAGTCCTCCGGTTTCTTTGGTTTTTAACTCTCCCGCCCTCTCTGGGGAAAGGTCCTCCCAGAGGAGCGCGCCTCGCCCACAGGCCCCGCCCACACTCGGGGCCCGCCCACAGCGTTAGATCTCCATGGTAACGCGGCGGTAGCGAAGGTCTCCCTGCGGCCGCGAAGGCCTCAGCGAAAGCTTGGAGGTAGGGTCGGCGCAGCCACGGCTTCTGCTTTCCGCTCCAGCCAAGGTCAGGCCACTCGGGGCTCCGGGCCCTGAACTGCCGGGGCACCCTGTGAGGAGCGAGGGTGGTGCTGCGGGCAGAGCCGGGGCTGCTGGAGGACCCCGCGGCCGCTGAGAGGGCCGGAGGGAACGGGGGCCGCTTCCGGCCGGAGGCGCCCAGGTCAGACCTCTCAGCCGCGCTGCAGGGGCGCCTGAGCCTTCCAGGCGCAGGTCTCACACCCAAGCTGTGGGGGGCGTCCTTCACAGTCTCACACCCATGCCACACTTGGCGCGGCCACGTTCTTTGGCTTCTTATTTCAAAACGACTGTTTTAACCGCTTACCTTATGCTGTGCACATTTTTAGCTACTAAATATATGAATTCACTTAGTCCTCAATAACTCCGTTAGAGGGACTAATAGTTTTCTTTTTTTTTTTCCCCCAGGTGAGGGAACTGTCTCCCAAAGGGTGAAGCAAGTGCCCAGACCTCAGTTATGGACAGGTCACTTTGAAAGCCGTGTGTTCCTAGACAAAACGCCAAATGCCACTTACCTATCCTCCCCGTGCTGATGCTGAGCGTCAATTTTACCTAGAGTAGCTTTTTTTATTCTCTACAAGCTAAGTTCCTCAAACTGATAATCAGGAAAATGAGGAAGCTTGATTAAAACCTACCACTCTTTCCTGGTTTATAATGTCATGGAAAGCTTGGTCCTTGTCCCTGATGCCAATACAACAATGAGGACGTGGTTGGGTTGTTGTTGAGATATTTATTTATTTATTTATTTTTAGTTGTAGATAGACACGATACCTTTGTTTTGTTTTTATGTGGTGCTGAGGATCAAATCCAGTGCCTCACTCACGCGAGGTAAGCGCTTCACCACTGAGCTACAACCCCAGCCCAAGGACGGTTTTTGAGTAAAAGGAAAAAGATGTTTTATTGCTTTGTTAGCAAATGAGAAACACGCGGGACTCCTGTCCCAGAGGCAGTGATTCTGCCCATCAGCCAAAATGCTGGGCTTTTAAAGAGGTGATTCAAAGACTAGGTTCCACTCTGTTGGAGTTTAATTCACTTGTTAATTTGGGAATTTCTGAAATCTTCTACCATCTCCCAAATCTGGGTTACTGCTTTCCTATGATGGGTGTGTACTCAAGGACAAATAAATCTGCCTAAAATGGGCAAGAAAGGTAATCCTGTTTCCCCTGAGATTAGGGACAGAGTGAGATTAGAGGAGAGCTGGGAGAAAGGAAGAGAAAGAAACATGTCCATTTTAAAAATAATTTGCAGTGGCAGAGCAGCAAAGGCTATATTCAAATGGTAAAGTGGACCGCTGTTCCAATAAGTGAAATTAATAACAGGGAATTCATTTTTTTCTATGATAATTAACTGAATTTTTTTCCTTTAATGTTTTTTCTTAAATAGAGTTAATATTCCAACTTGGGTGTGCAGAAAAGAGAATTTCAATGACCTGAACAAATTGTTTTTCCCAAAATTCCCTTAGATTTGAAAGGTCATTAATTGGATGTGCTGGAATAGCATTTATAAGCATTTCCTTTTTTAGGCTGTACTCTGCTGCCTTCATAGGGGATCAGGGGGTTAAGTTTCTTCATTTTTTTCCTTCAAATAGTGCTAAACCTCTAAAGCCCTTCATTTAAAAAGATAAACAGGAGGGGCCTAGAAGCTAATAATTAAATAACAACAAGTTAACAAATAGTATTATGTCTCCTTATAAATAGTGGAGAAACCTGAAGAGAAAAATTAATATATAAATGCAATTATTAAAAAAAACAAATCATTGTTTTATTTAGCCAGAATGCCTCTCACTCAAGCAGAAAGTGTTATAAAGAATATCATACGAGAAATAGGACAAGAATGTGCAGCTCATGGGGAGATTGTTTCTGAAACTCTGGTTGCTTTTATGGTAAGAATGACTGTTGTTGCAAATTATTTCTTTATTAACATTTTTTAGTGTGGTTTTTATTTTTCCCTTAAAATTCTGTGAAGCTTTCCTAGATGTTTTTTTGGTTGAAAACAAACTGACCTCTTCAGACAAGTTAGTGGAAAATAACTTTTAAATATCTGGAAAGCATGTCAATTTTTTTTTTTAATTTGTAAGATTTTAAAAATTTTTCAGTTTTCTCTCTCTCTCTCTCTCTCTCTCTCTCTCTCTCTCTCTGGTCCTGGGAATGAAACCCAGGACCTGTTGCTTGCCAAGTGCGTTACCACTAAGCTACATCCCCAGCCTCCCTGCTGCCATTCCCTTCCTTCCATACCTACATACTTATCTTTTTTTCCTTTCTTTCCTTCTTTCCTTCCTTCTTTTCTGGACAGGGCCTTATTAAGTCACCCAGACTGGCCTGGAACTTGTGATCTTACTGCCTCAACTTGAGTTTCTGGGTGTATCTGTTATTGTTTGGTTAACTACTAATACACAATGAAAATATGTTTAAATTTACCATAGTTTTCCAATCTAAAATCTTTCCATTGCTTTTAACTTATTTCCCCATATACCCTTTTTTAAAAATATATTTTTAAGTGTTAATGGACCCTTATTTTATTTATTTGCATACAGTCCTGAGAATCGAACCTAGTGCCTCACACATGGTAGGCAAGCGCTCTGCCACTGAGCTACAACCCCAACCCCTCCCCATCTAATTTTTCTAGCACCATTTTCAGATTTGATGTTTACTACTCCCTTTCTTCACCCTGTATTAAAGGGGTTGATGAGTTGGATCATAGGAAAAATACCTAAAAAATCATTTTTGAGTAATCAAGAGGTAGTTGTTTAAAAGAAGGAAGCACAGTAAGTTAATTTCATGATAATATAAAATAAAATTGCTTGATTAACTCTTCCTACTCTCAGGTGAAAGCTGTTGTCCTGGATCCAAGTAATGGCTTTAACATGGATAGAACCCTCATGAAAAGTGATGTGCAGAAACTTGTTAAGGTAATTATCATACTCCTCAAAACTGGAGTTATTTTCAATTTTAAATATAATATTTGTGTTACCATTATTGCCTTTAGCTGCATGAAAAAGAAAAAACTTCACACAATAGAGGTACAAATGAAGGATTTATTTTTCTCATAAAATAATGTCTCGAGATGCATAGGCTATTCTTTCTGTCTTCCTGGTCTACCCATCCCCTTGACAGATGCTTTTCATCCAATTTTTCTTCCCATTTTTTGGTCATAAGATAGCTATTCTACTTGTGAGGAGAAAGAAGAGGAAAAGCAAAAGAGCAAATATAATATGTGTGCCAATTGGATCTGTTACTTTCTTTCCAGAGAATAATAGTTTTCTCAGAATCCCTTCCATATGCTTACATTTATTGGCCAAAAAGATACTTTATATGACCCTGGGACACTGATTCTCTTTTTTCATTCTCAAAGAAATCTTTGCCTCAACCCAAATTGGGACCCTATTAGGAAGGAGGGGCATGATCACTGAGCAGGTAATAGTGTCTGCCACAATATCTGAGCGTTACCTTACTAATTAGTTACATTGAGAGCATTATTAACTGGTTTGTCTTCTACCTATACTGGTAAAGTTAAATAGTAATAAATTAAGATTCATAATGATTCAGTGTAACTTATGTTTTTCAATCCTAAAGAATAAATTAAAGCCAAAGCAAAATAATCCATAGTTATAAATCAAATAGATGTGTTTGAAAACCAGTTTTTAAAAGGCAAGAACTCTAGACGTTTAATATTGTTCATATATTTTACATTTGACTCACTGAATTGAATTCCTTAATCTGAATTTCCTAAAAATTCAACTTTTTTATTTTTCTCCTGGGCTTAATGAACTTAATTCCTTCATGCAGTTGACTTGAAACAAATGTTCCCAGACTTGTATATGGATGTTTTCCTGGGCTCTTGAAAATGACATGGGATAAATTTCATGATTGCTTTTTCTATTTCTATGAGGAATGTCATTGGGATTTGGATTGGAATTGCATTAAATCTTTATAGTGCTTTTGGTAGTATGGTCATTTTGATAATATTAATTCTGCCTATCCAAGAGCAAGGTAGATCTTTCCATCTTCTAAGGTCTTCTTTGACTTCTTTCTTTAGGGTTCTATACTTTTCAATATATAGATCCTTAACCTCTCTCATTAAGTTGATTCCCAAGTATTATATTTTATTTTTTCGAGGCCATTATAAATGGGGTAGGCTTTCCTCGTTTCCATTTCTGAGGATTTGTCACGATACACAGAAATGCCTTTGATTTATGGGTGTTGATTTTATATCCTGCTACTTTGCTGAATTCATTTACTAGTTCTAGAAGTTTCCTGGTGGAGCTTTTAGGGTCTTTTAGGTATAGAATCATCATCAGTAAATAGTGCCAATTTGAGTTCTTCTTTTCCTATGTGTATCCCATTAATTTCTTTTGTCTATCTAATTTCTCTGGCCAGTGTTTCAAGAACTATGTTAAATAAAAGTGGTGAAAGAGGGCATTCTTCCTGTGCCAAGCCCTCGCTTGGTGCCAGCACCTCCCTTCCCTCTGTTCATCTTCCCTGGAGAAGCCTGAGCCAAGCGTGACTCGGGAAGCTTTTCAGCACTATCCCTGGGTTCAGCCAGCCACTTTCTTTCTCGACTACAGCAAACACCATCTCAACCATCTTAGCCTAGAGAATCAGCCTGAGGGGGCTGGGTGAAAAAATTGACCCAGTGAGCAAGGAACAGCTTCTAGCCAGAAACCCCTGCTCTGAGAGCCCATCTTTCTTCATCTTTCCCATTGATGGCTTTCGGCTTGACCCTTCCATCTCCCATGGGGGCAGAATTCTACGAGCACAATTCACGGATCTTTCCCTCCGTTTTACATTGCTAATAATGGATGTTAATCTTGAATCCTTCAGCATCTCTTCCATTGAATTAGAATGGCTTTCTCATTGTTTATTTTAGAAAGATGTTCAATATACTAAAGCAAAAAAAAAAAAAAAAAAAAAAGAAAGAGGGCATTCCTGTCTTGTTCCAGTTTTTAGAGGGAATGTCTTCAATTTTTCTCCATTAGAATGATGTTGACCTGGGGTTTGGCATAGATAGCCTTTTTGATGTTGAGATATGTTGCTGATATCCCTAATTTTTCTAGTGTTTTGAGCGTGAAGGGGTGCTGCATTTTGTCAAATGCTTTTTAAATACTTGGGAAACCACTTAATGAAAGAGGTGAAAGATCTATATAATGACAATTATAGAACCCTAAAGAAAGAAATCAAAAAAGACCTTAGAGGATGGAAAGATCTACCTTGCTCTTGGATAGGCAGAATTATATTATCAAAATGACCATACTACCAAAAGCACTATACAGATTTAATGCAATTGCAATCCAAATCCCAATGATATTCCTCATAGAAATAGAAAAGGCAGTCAAGAAATTCATCTGGAAAAAGAAGAGACCCAGAATAGCTAAAACAATCCTTAGCAGGAAGAGTGAAGCAGGAGGCATCACTATACCAGAATTTACACTATACTATAGAGCAATAGTAATAAAAACAGCATGGTGTTGACACCAAAATAGAATGGTAGACCAAAGGTACAGAATAGAGGACACAGAGACAAATCTACACAAATACAGTTATCTCATACATTGCTGGTAGGACTGCAAATTGGTGCAGCCAATATGGAAAGTAGTTATGGTGATTCCTTGGAAAACTGGGAATGGAACCACTATTTGACCCAGATATCTGTCTATACCCAAAGGACTTAAAAACAGCATATTATAGGGACATAGACACATCAATGTTTATAGCAGCACAATTCACAATAGCTAAACTGTGGAACCAACCTAGATGCCCTTCAATAGATGAATGGATTAAAAAAATGTGGCAATGGAATATTACTCAATAATAAAAGAGAAAATAAAATCATGACATTTGCAGGTAAATGGATGGAGTTAGAGAAGATAATGCTAAGTGAAGTTAGCCAATCCCAAAAAACCAAATGCCTTCTCTGATACAAGGAGTGTGATTCATAGTGGGGTAGGGAGAGGGAGCATGGGAGGAATAGATGAACTCTAGATAGGACAGAGGGGTTGGAGGGGAAGGGAGGGGGCATGGGGTTAGAAAAGATAGTGGAACGTGATGGACATTATTATTGAAAGTACGCGTATGAAGATAGGAATTGGTGTGAATACACTTTATATACAACCAGAGATATGAAACATTGTGCTCTATATGTGTAATAAGAATTGTAATGCATTCCACTGTCACATATAAATAAAAAAATTAATTAAAAGAAAAAAGTGAACAGTTGCTACAAGTACAAAAAATAAAAAACAAAAGAAAAGAAAATGGCAGAGGAAAATGTCACCATCCCCATTTTTTATTTCAACCGGCAGTTCACTTAGTGGAGGACAGGTCTATCTGCAGAAACTGTAGGGGTCAGGAATATGTTTGTAAGCCTGGAGCTGGGGAATATTTTGTCAGGATGATTATGTAGGAGAGATTTCATGATTTCACGAAACTACCTAGAGCTAGCTCTTTTCTCAGCTGATTTAAAATGTGATAGAAAGCTTGTTCTTGGCAATAGGAGAAATGGCTGTAATGGTTTGTCAGAAATTTTATTGGGAAGACATCGAGGAGAATTAAGAAGGAGCAGAAAATAAGTTTTTCTTCTTTTTATGGCTCAAGAAGAATTGTTTTTCATTTCTCCAACTCAACTAAGTTGGAATGAATTGAGCTCAATGTACCTTTAATGTCAGGTACATAAAAACTCAATGAATATCAAAATTCAAATGATGAAACTGGAAATTCATATGTAGCAAAATGCAATTAAACTCTGTCTATTATCAAGGATTTAGGCACTAGTACAGAGACCCTGCACGTAATAGAAAAAGTAGGCCCAAACCGCCACCATGTCACTTAGGAACTGACTTCCTTAACAAGACTCCTAAAATGCAGGAAGTAAAATCAAGAATCAATAAATGGATCAACCCGGGCTGGGGCCGTGGCTCAGCGGTAGAGTCACTGGGTTCCATCCTCAACACCACATAAAAATAAAGAATAAATACCATAACATTAAAAAAAAATACCAACCTAGGTGTCCTTCACCAGATGAATGGATAAAGAATATGTGGTACATATACAATAGAGTATAACTCAACCTTAAAGAATGAAATCATGGCATTTGTCAGTGAATGGATGGAACTGGAGACCATCATGCTAAGCAAAATAAGGCAGTTCCCTCAAACCAAAAGCCCAATGTTTTCTGTGATATGAAGATACTAATTCACAATAAGGGGGTGAGGAGAGTCCTGAACAATAGAATTACTTTGGATCAGGCAGAGGGGAGTGAAGGGAATGAAGGGAGGTAAAGATAGGAATTGGTGTGAATTGGTATGGGGATACGAAGCACAGTAAAATGAATCAGACATTATTACCCTATGTGCATATATGACTACACGACCGATGTGATTCTACATCATATACAACCAGAAGAAGGGGAAGTTATACTCCATTTATGTATAATGTGTTGAGGTGTGTTCTACTGTCATGTATAACTAATTAGAACAAATTAGAAAAAAGGAATCAATGAATGTGATGGAATCAAACTAAAAAGCTTCTTCACAGCAAAGGAAACATTCAAGAACATGAAGAGAGAGCCTACAGAATGGGAGAAAATCTTTTCCACCTGCACCTCAGATAGAGTATTAATCTCCCAGGATATATAAAGAACTCAAAAAACTTAACACCCCCCAAAACAAATAACCCAATCAATAAATGGGCTAAGGAACTGAACGGACACTTCATAGAAGAAGAAATACAATTGATCAACAAATATATGAAAAAAATGTTCAACATCTCTAGCAATTAGAGAAATGCAAATCAAAACTACACTGAGATTCCATCTCATTCCAGTCAGAATGGTAATCATCAAGAATACAGGCAACAATAAATGTTGGTGAGGATGTGGGGTAAAAGATACATTTATACATTGCTGGTAAAATTTCAAATTGTTGCAACCACTATGGAAAGCAATATGGGGATTCCTCAGAAAACTTGGAGTGGAACCACCATTTGACCAGTTATCCCATTCCTCGGTTTATACTCAAAGGACTTAAAATCAGTGTACTGTAGTGACACAGCCATATCAATGTTTATAGCAGCTCAATCCACAATAGCTTAACTAGAATCAACCTAGGTGCTAGTTCCATTCATCTGTCGAAGGGCAACAGATAAATGGATAAAGAAAATGTGGTATATATACATAATAGAATACTACTCAATCTTAAAGAAGAATGGAATTATGGCATTAGCCAGTAAATGGATGGAACTGGAGGCTATCATGCTAAGTGAAATAAGCCAATCCCAAAGAAAGGCCAAATGTTATCTCTGATACGCAGATGCTAATTCACAATAAGTATGTGTGTGTGGGGCCTCAGGAAGAATAGAGATACTTTGGATTAGACAGAGGGAAATGAAGGAAGGGGAAGGGGTATAGAGGTAGGAATGATAGTAGAATGAATTGGACATTATTACCCTATGTGCATATGTAATTACATGACCTGTGTAACTCTACATCATGTACAACCAGAAGAATGAAAAGTTATATATTTATGTATGATGTGTCAAAACGCATTCTATTGTCATATATAACTAATTAGAACAAAAATAAAAAATTCAAATGATGGAAATTGTTTCCCTTTTTCCCAAAGTCACATGGATGAGCTATTTTTTTTTTTAAATAAAGTCTAATTTTAGAACAGTACTTCTCTTACCTGGAGGAATCCAGGTGCACAGGTTTCCATTAAAGACAGTATCAGATCCTCAGTCTTGCATTCTCCCTGCTCCTAAGAGGTGAGAAGGGAAGAGAGTGGGGGAGGGAGGTTAGTAGTGGAGAGAAGGAAAGAAAATTTAATTTGATCATCCAGTCCAAAGAAGTGTGACAGAAGGGGGAATGAGCCATCTATTTGGGATCAGGGGATGGGAGAACACAAATCAGAAGAAAAAATTTTGAAACAGGAAAGTAGAGCCATTAAAATTGGGTGAAGAGAAGAAGGTAGTTGCAATAGTTTTTTCTTTTTAGCAAAATGCATGTGACCTCCAGCATTGCCAAAGGAATATTAGTAAAATAAATAGTAATGAGGAACTCCAGGAGAGTTCTAGACTGGAGTATAAGCTTCATGGACCATTTATCCATGTTTTAACTGCTTGGGCTAACCACCAAAGCCAAGCTTCTTGCCTTCAACTAGACTATTAGCCACCTGAGGTGATTTAAGTTAACTCAAGGGAAATAACTTATCACATAATACATTGTTGCTAGTTGGATAAAATATAGAGCCTGAAATCCTCAAGGAGAAAAAAATAATAAAAGGAGCTCTTGACTTTTCCCTTTAATTTTGGAGCTATCTTAGAAGATACTTTAGTGTTTTAGAAAATGTAATAGAAACATTGCTATTATTTTCTAGCTTTGTGTGGCTCGACTACTGGATAATAAAAATCCATCTCTGGACACCATTAAGATGCAAGTCTACTTTGATATGAATTACACAAGTCGAGGTAACATTATCTATCTTCTTCAATGCTTTTAAAAGTTATGTTGTATTTCAGGTGAGAAAGTTTCATTGGTTGACAATAAATTTAAATGTTTATGAAATTATTTTCCTTGTCAGTCTTTTGAAATGTTTTCCAACTTTGATGTATTAAGAAGTTTTCTGTCACTATTAAAATTATCTGAGATAACTTATACAAAGAAAAGATTTCCTTTGACTCACAAATTTAAGGTTTCAGTCCATGATTGGTTGATCCAGTTTCTTTAGGCCTTTGGTGGCCTATCATGGTGGGAACATGTGACTCTAGAACAAAACCATTCACCTCATTGGTTGGCCAGTGAAAGAGTGGAAAAGAGTGGGGTCCCACAGTGCCCTCCAGGGCATGCTTTCTTTGAGCCCAAAGACCTTTCACTAATCCTTTTAAAGGTTGTACCACCTTCCAATAATACCATGGTCTAGAGACAAAGCCTTCAAAACTAAGGACTTTTGTATACAAACTATAATATTTGAAGGATAATAATGATGAACATGCTAAATGAAAAAAATATCAGTGGCTTTTGTAAGTGTTAAAAGTCAATTTAAATTTTTATGCTTCTAAAAATTATTTCTCAGTCTATTGATTTTTAACCTTCATAGCACTGATACTTTATAATTAGAAATGAAAACATCTAACTCATTGAAGTTAAGTTTTTAAAATTTGTATATTTTCTTATTCCTAGTTTATCATCTCATAATTCCTAAATTATGTAACTACCTGAAAATGAAAAAAATTGTGGGAAATTTAAATTCAGAATTTTATCATAATATAAATGAAAGTGCATGCATCAAAGACAAGTTGGGAACGAGAAAAAGGAAAATAAATTTCTCTGTTTTTGTTCTTGCTGTTATGAATTTATTATTAACTATTTTTTTTGTCTCTAGGAATTAGTGCTTTAGTTATCCTACATAAGTAATTATATATCTTGCTTTTTTGCTTAATAATAATGAATTTTGGGCTGGGGCTGTCGCTTATTGGCAGAGCACTTGCCTAGCAGGTCTGAGGTAATGGGTTTGATCTTTAGCATCATGTAAACATAAATAAAGGCATTCTGTTCATCTACACATACAAAAACAATTTAAAAATAATAATGAAATTTAAAGCAATAAAATAGTCATGGAATTGAGGAAATTTAATATATGTATTTTTTATTTGCAAAAAAAGCTTTCAGTTTCTTTTGTGGTAAGATTTAGAATGAAGTGTGCATGATTGAAATGTGAATCATTGCCCTTGTAATAGTAATACAGGATGTCTTATTGAGTCAGTGTCAAGAATTGTATTGCTGGTAAAGATGGTCTTTTGCCACAATTATGCTTTTACCTTAGCACAGCAAAGAAAGAAAGAGGAGTGACACAGTTTTTGATGTAATATCATATTATCAGTAATATTACTCAGAGAAAAATTTATCTGGAACTAAAATAGAAATACACATAATAAAAAAGGAATATATACACCCCATATATGATTGTACTACATATACTTACATGTAGCATACTACATATGTTTACATATGGTATAAATGTACAGTACATACATATTTATAATGTTTACATATAGTTTTTAATAAATATAAGCACACTTGTATTAAAGAAAGTGTCTACTTTCTCCTTAATTGGGAGACTTTAGTCTTCTCTGATGTTCACTGTTTTGATTATTTATTTTGGGTCTTGTGGCTTTTTAAAATAATTTTTTAGTTGGAGATGGACACAATACCTTTATTTTATTTGTTCATTTTTATGTGGATGAAACCCCTTGCCTCACACATGCCAGGCGAGCACTCTATCACTGAGCTACAACCCCAGCCCTTTTGTGTGTTTTGATAAAGTACTCTATTTAAATCACTGTATACACGTTTCCCACTGGATTTTTGTCTTGAGGTTATTCACTGTTTTTAATTTCTTTTTTATATCTTAAGAAAGTATTTGTTTTTATACAGTACAGTTGCCATACTTAAGCAGTTTTGCTCTCATCCTCAAATGAGAATCCTAAATATCAAATGTATGCAATGTTATCATTTGCCAATTTTAGAAGAATTTCTTGAAGAACATCACCGGGTCCTGGAGTCTAGATTAGGCTCTGTTAGCAGAGAAATTACAGATAATAGAGCATGTGCTAGAGAAGAATTGGAAAGCCTTTACAGGAAGATTGTCAGCTATGTGTTGCTACGCTCTGGGCTTGGATCCCCTACAGACATCAAGATTGTCAGAGAGGCAACAGGTAAAAAATATGAATGATTTCCATTGTATACGTGAGCATACATGATCATTATATTTTATAAAATGTGTTTAAGTGTTAAAAGATTGAAGTTCCCTTTTTATCTGGAAAAAAAAAAAAAGACAAATAAGTTAAAACTTACCCAGACTCTTTTTATACGACGTGGCACCTGAAGGGAAGTACTGTTCATTTTCTTAGGGCTGTACATATCATGAGCCTATTGTCCCCTTTTATACTTAAAAATGAGGAATAGGCAAGATGTCTAGACCTCCTATGGCTTTTCTCCGTAATTATCTAACAGCATAGATTTTTCTACTCCAAGCCCTATTTAGAAAGTTTGTTTTAAGACCTAGTGCCAAAAAATTCTAGCAATAATTTGGATGCTTACTTATTAAAAATGGATATGAGACAATATCATTAGTTTTAGTAGTCCAGCTCTGATGTATGATAAATTTTGCCATGCATTCATTCTGTAATCAGGTATCAGAAATGTGAAGCATTGTATAGGGAACAGTACAAAGCCAAGTCTCTTAACTTTCTGCTGAAGGAAAGAAATTTATAATCTAAGTTCTGATATCTTTATTCTATCAGTTTGTTTTCATATTTTGTGGTTTATTTTAGCTGCACTACAGAGTGTTTTTCCTCATTCTGAACTGGGGACATTTCTGACTCTTACTAAAAAGGACAAAGAACGCCAGCTGAAAGAACTCACTATGATTGTTACTGGAATTCGCTTATTTAACAGAGACTGTGGAAAAGGAGGAGAAGGCATTGATGATTGTAAGTGTATCATTAGGTTAATTCTAGGGGTTATGGATGTTTAAAATTCAGCCTGCACAGAGAGGAATATAATACACAATACATGACTGGCATGCTGAGATTTAAGATTTGTAGTTTTGACTGTTCCTTAGGAAAAACTAGTGTCCATAGTGTGTAGTAATTTTTTTTTTACTTTTGCTGAGGCAAGACTTTGAATTTTATGTACCATGAAGTTAGTGTGGGAAAGTGAATCAGTAAAGGAATGTGGTTCCTGCCCAAAGGCTAGCCTCTCCAATTCAGTGGAAATTTGTGTTTACTCCAAATCAAACGAAGAAAGTAAAACTCAGTGATATAAAACCAAACATCATTCTGGAAAGAAAACAGTTGTTGGTGCTGTTAATGGAATGAGAAGGTCCAAAAAGAGATATTTAGGCAAATCTTTAAATTGAGGAACATCTACTGTATTGTTATTACAAAAAGAATTTTTTATAAATTTGAATGTGCTTTTGAAATAGTTAATTAAGGACCTACCAGTAGAAGTGATTTCTTATGAATTTGGTATTCCTGCAGGTGATAAGGTGTTGGTGTCTTTTACCAGACCACTGGTCACTAGATGTCAGTACTAGCAGCAGAGTATTATTTATTTATTTATTTATTTGCAGAGCTGGGGATTGAACCAAAGGTCTTGTGCATACTAGGCAAGTGTTGTACCTCTGAGCCACATTTTCTAAGTTTTTCCATTTAAAAAATTTTATTTTTAAGCTGTGTTAAAAAGTTCAGTTTCCATTCTTTATAAACTTCCCTCCCTTGATAGACTATTCTGTTTCTTTTCAGCATCCAAATGAATTTCTTACAAAAAATGCTTTTGAAATTTGTTTTTACAAATAGAAAAAAAGGTATATAGAAGGATTGATCAGACAGTGGCTTTTCTAGGGACCACATGGTCAACAACACATACTGTTGAAGCCTACCTTTTCTTTAAACTCGTCTGTTTTTAGTGGCAAAAGCTGATCTCCTGGGACTTTTGGTTATCACTCTGATAATATCTTTTGTTTGGATAGGTTCTTTTTGTATTCTTCATGCTGTGGGACCCATAAAACACATGGCTTACTGTTATTAAAAACTAACTCCACTCAGTGCTTAAAATATGACTACTTTCTGGGCCTTTTTTTTCTTAACTATTATTATTATTTTTACTGGGGATTGAACCCAGAAACACTTTACCACTGAGTTAATCCCTAAACTCTTCATTTTAATGTGAGACAGGTTTTACTAAATTGCTGAGGGCCTCACTAAATTGCTGAGCTTGGCCTTGAATTTGAAATCCTCTTGCCTCAGGCTCCCTAACTCCTGGGATTACAGGCTGAGCCACCATGCCTGGCTCTCTCTTGTTCTTAACCACCCTCATACCTGTCTTTTATATACTTACAAACAGTGCCAGCTATTCTACATGAAGCAATCCCAGCCACCACTCAGCATATTGATTCCCAACTTCAGATTGCCCAGGACCAGGTATATCGCTACACAGCCATCCTTGAGAAGGTAACAAAGAACCCACTCATGAGTAAAGAACTCGAGCCATATATGTTAAAGGAGGCATTGTATAACGTACGACAATATGAGGTCTTCCTTCAGATCATTTTGGTGAGTTAATTTTACAAGTTCTGGTCTTTATACATAACCTCTTTAGAACCAAGTCACTAATGAAAGGAAGCAAACTCAGTTGCTTCTCAGTTTATATTGCATAGGTAGAGCCAGTAATTAAAATAGAAATGGGAAAGTTGGATTTCGATTTTTATAGTTGTTGATTCTCTTTGGTACTTGATAGTATGATTGTTAACATGGTATGTTTAAGCAATAATATATGTATGTGTAGGAGAGCAATACCATGTTGTTTTATTCAGAAGAAGTGTCTAACATTGTTTGGCAGATAGTTGACACTCAATTTTTGTATAATAATTTGCTGTTCTTATAAAAACTGGTAGAATTTTTTTTTTTAGTAAAAGAATAGCAAAGTTTATTAGAAGAAATAGAAAAAGGGAATATTCTCAAGGGATAGAATGGATCCCCTCAGAGAGGACTCTAATTATTTCCATTTTAAAAGCTATTTTAAAAAGTTTTGTTCTGATTTTTATAAAGTTTTTTTCCCTTGCTAGACTGTTCTGTTACTTTTCAGCATCCAAACGAGTTTCTTAAGAAGAATGCTTTTGAAATTTGTTTTTACAAATAGAAATGAAAATATATAGAAGGATTGATTGGTGACTTTTCTAGAGACCACATGTCAATAACACATACTGTCAAAGTCTACCATTTTTTAAAACATGTGATAGTTATAATCTTTGTGATAGTTAAAATCTTTTTAAAAACAGCAGTGCACTTTTTTTTTGGATAGAAACTAACTCAAAATCTTAAAAATATAAAACATATTTATATGAATGAATTGGAAGACCCTTTCACAGAGGAATATGCCAGGCCATCCTGGCCTTCCAGGGAACACAGTTTATTAACTACCCCTGTGTGTCACCAGGAAAAGCAAAGTGCCTGTTTTCCCTTTGCTCTCATACCATAATTAATCAAAGACTTCTCTGTCCTCAAAAGTTGTGGGACTTTATCCCTACTAGCAAGCAAGCAGTTCTGCAGTGAATACCAACTGGGTACCTTCTAATTCATTTCGATTCTGAGACTATGCACCTGGAGACAGCATCAGATCCCACAAGTTGAGGGCTCAGTCCCCAAGACTGCCCCCTTCCCCTGCAATTTAGATGACAGTGTAAGTCCCAAATTGTCTTACCCATGCTTCTGACCCACCAGCTATAAATTGGGGTTCCTACAACTTCTTCCTTGGGTTTGATTAATTTGCTCAAGTGGCTCACAGCACTCAGGAAAACTCATTTATTAGTTTTTTTTTTTTAAATAAAAGCTATTATAAGGGACACAGATGCCTAGGGTAAGGCATGGGAGAAGGGGCGCAGAGCTTCCAGGCCATCTCTGTCTTGGTGTGCCACCCTCTAGGAACCTTCATGTGTTTAGCTATCTGGGAGCCTTTTGAATCCAGTTCTCTTGGTTTTTTATAGAGATTTCATTATGTAGGCGTAATTGCTAATAGATTGGGTGGGGAAACTCAGTGAGGCCTGTATATTTAGATTCTTCTTAGCCTCTCTGTGCAGTGTTCCTTTCTCTAGGGTATGTGACAAAACTCTTGGAATGAGGAAGGTCTTAGTAACAGCTGTCAGACAAGTTAGTCAGAGAATTTCTTTATAGCCAGTTCTAAGACAAAAAGGCAAGGGAAGATTAGAATGTCTCTGATCTTCCTTGGGGAAGAGAAATTCTGATTTCTATGGCCTGCTTTGGGGGAGAGAGTTATAAGCCAGGGACTGTGGATGTAAGCCAAAAAATATATATCATAATGTCACAACTGTATGACAGCAAGCTATATTCCCACTTTACACATCCTCTGCTTTCTAATAACTCTGACACTCAGGATTAATGGAACTGTCTTTCATGAGTGAATACTAATTTCTTGAGGGATAGAACAGTATGTGTTTTGGCCCCCTCTTCCTAACTTGATTCTTAATGGCTTAGTACACTTTTGGATGTTCTTGGTCTGTCATCTCTCATTACCTAGCTATACAGTACAAAGAGAAGCATCCTGATGACAAGACTTCATTGCAAGAAACTAGGGGTCCTCACAATTGGCCTATTAATTGCCTTTGGAAAGAAGGACTGTAAATCAGTTATTCAAATCAAATCATTCTGGGGCTGGGGTTGTGGTTCAGTGATAGAGCGTTTGCCTAACATGTGTGAGGCGCTGGGTTCAAGCCTCAGCACCACATAAAAATAAATAAATAAGTAAATAAAATAAAGATTTAAAAAAATCAAATCATCCTGATGCACAGATATTCCCTTAACATTGATTTCAGCCTTATGTAACTAGTCAGATACCAACAGGGTTTTTAAATCAATTTGTCTTGAAGTGAAATGTAGGTTCATAGGAGTCAAAATTCACATTCACTTTTGTTGTCTATATTTGGAGGGGAGATCCTTGGGAATAAATATTGTGAAGATGTTTCAGAGAATCTTGTTCATTGTGGAGTGTTTTCTCCCAGCTTTTGATCAGGAATCATGTTCAACCTACTAACTTGGTCTTAAATTCTCACTGGAGTTCCACCTCTTGCAGCTTAGAGGGACAGTGAATGGAGCGTACAAGTGACAAGTGTTGGCTCTGCAAGCAGATTGCATGGGCTCCAGTCCTGACGTGCTACTCGCTAGATCTGCGTCCTAAAGAAGTTGCTTAACTTCCCAGTGTCTTGGTTTGCATATCTGTAGAATATTATCCACTATGTAAATAATGTAGGACAGTGTATTTACATAGTAATAATTCCATTCATTTATGATGATGATGATGTTTTTCATCATCATCACTGTTGGGGCCCTAGCAGAAGAGCTCTGATTCCATTTTGGTGGGGGAACAAGCTGAGGAGATGTTATTTTTCCAGACACTATCTCATTTCCAAGCTTCTTGCTGCTCATGTTATTGAGAAGGTTTAGTTTTCTTATTTTAGCACTCTTCATGACTGTTTAGTACTACTTTAAGTTAGGATTATTACAAATTTTCTTAAACTTTCTGACCCTTTGGTGCTCAAAATGTCTGTTGTTTTGTTTTTGAACTATCAGTCTTTCCCCATCAATCTTTCTTAGTTTTAGTTAATATAGAATGAATATTGGTTTAATCAGCATTATCTCTAGGCTACAAAATATGCCATTTTGTATTTAGCTGAGATTTTTTCATGTCTTGAAACCTATAAATATCCTTTTTCAAAAGTCACATTATCTAAAAGGATATTTGTAAAATTTTTTGAAATATTGATTTTGATTTAAAAAAATTATTTCTTGCCAAAGCTGCATTCCATTTACATAAACATTTAAAAATCCAAATGTAACTTGGGTAGTGAGTTATTTTATTTTGTTCTGATTTAGTTTTTTATCTGTTGCAGTGAACAAATTTATGTATTCTGGAAAAGAAAAGGCGGGCGGTGGCAGGATGGGCAGTAATCATAGTCTTGCTGTCTTAGCTGAGAGAACAGAATTCCATATTCTGTGGGGTTTTTAAGTGCAAGGCAGTTACCAAAGAAAGAAAGCTGCTTATTGTTATTATGCAAGGAAAAATTGTGTCTGACAGAACATTTCTGAAAACCTGCAAGTCAAGACTTTTGTAGAAGGGCTGGGGATATAGTTCAGTTGGTAGTGTTTGCCTTGCATGCAAAGTACATGCAAGGATTAGGCAACACCCAGCATCTTGATTTTTTTCCAATAATGTAAGTAAAAGATCAGATGGAATGTGTGCTTAATTTATTTTATTGTACATTTAACATGAGATTTATGCTGTTAACATATTTTAAGAGTTCAGTACAATATTACTAACTATAGGCACTATGGTGGAAGCAGATCCCTAAAGTTTATTCATCTTGCAGAACTGAAACTTCATACCTGTTGATTATTGATTCCATATGTCCCCTTCTCTCTGTCCACTGGAAACCATCATTTTTCTGTCTTTGATGAGTTTGATGAGACTTGTAGGAAAACTGCCCATGGAAGAAAGTATGAGGACTTACAATCAAAAAAAAAAAAAAAGAAAAAAAAGAAGAAGGAAGAGAAGAATACAGAAATATGGTGGTTGGATCATATGCTTTCCTTAAACATTTGAGTATGTTATAACAAAAATGAACAAACAAAAGCAAAAAACTTAAGCAATGGTATCCCTAGAGGACTAACATTACAACTAAAACTCTACTTTTGTAAATAAGTTCTTTTTGGTAAAATATAAATAGAGTGTTTGTCCTAGGCCATTACTGGGAAAAAAAAATCAAAAAGTTATTTGTGCCTGCCTACTCTGTGAATAAACCCTGAAAACATAGCTTGAGTATAGGGAATCTAGAGCATCTTTCATTGTAGGTTTTATAAGTGTTATGTGCCAGATGCAACTTTTACTTTGGAGAACATATGCAGATTTATTTCTGTATATGTGTGTTGTTGGCTTGTTGCACAAATCTAAAAAGCCTTTAAAGATTGCATTTTTACATTTGATTCCAAAAACAACAATAACAAGCAAGGTGGGAAAAAAACTCTGGGGCAGAAAAGAGACTTGTTAGATATGATAGAAAATGTTATATGGGAGACTGAACCCAGAGAATGCTTAAATAGCAGTGTGGGTAAAATTAAAGCAAGATGCATGTTCTATTTAAGAACAGTAATAATATTTGATAATAATATTTGACATTTCATTTTTATAATTTAAAATTATCTGTGTAGAATTTAAACTACAGATGTCCAAGGATTCAATATACTTTTTTCTTTTCAAATAAGTGCCATTCTTTTATACTGTACTGATAAACCCAAACCATTGCTATTTCTGGTCCCATCTTAGGCAATGCAATATAATGGATAAAAGCTGGGCTCTCAGATGGTTTAGGGTAGAAATGTAATTCTACCCCTTATTAGTTATATATACTTGAGAAATTTACTTACTTTTTTTTTCCATTTTTGTTTTTGTTTTTTGGGTACTGGGAATTGAACCAGGGCTGCTTAACCACTGAGTTACATCCCCAGCCTTTTTATTGTATTTTATTTAGACACAGGGTCTTGCCAAGTTGCTTAGGGTCTTGTTAAGTTGCTGAGGCTGGTTGTGAACTCAGGATCCTCCTGTCTCAGACACCCACGCTGTGCCCAGCCTTACTTACCTTTCTATTCTTTGTGGCCCACTGTGTCCAGCCTTCCTTACCTTTCTATTCTTTGTTTTTCCTTATTCATATCTACCTCTTCTTGGTATTTATATATATTTTATATGGTGCTTGCAAATAAAGCAAGTGTTTTATAGTTATTTCAAATTTAGCAACTTATTTTCAGACCCTCAATTTCTATAAAAAATTTTCTTTTAATCCTGTGACGTTTAAGAATTTCTGTAATTTATTAGTTCTTGATATCAAAATAGTTTTCAGAGAAATACTTCATTAATGTTATCACTGGGCAATGGGGAAATAATAGCCGTATAACTATATAAAATAGATTCATGGGGATCCACTTCTCATGAATTAGATTTAATATTTTAGTAAACCTGTGTACATTTAAGAAAAGTTATATTCATAGTATGTCAAAAGACTCACAAATCCCACAAATATTTCTGGGGCATCATCCATATGCCAGTGCTATTCTAGTTGTTGAGGATTACCATAGAGAATAGAGCCCCTGTCACTGAGCTTACCCTCAGAGGATGTGGGGAACAGGTGGAGTTAAAACATGTGATTTTTTTAGTGAAATTTTAAAAATATTAATGTAAATTATGTTGTCTTCATAGTCAGACATAATTACTTGTGCCCAAGAAGTGGAAATTATGATAAAACAGTTAGGAGCCCAATTGGAACTTTTAAAATCCACTGTAAAATCAAGAACAGCTATCCCAACATCACAAGTCTTTGTAAGTACTTGTCATCAACTTTGACTGTATTAAGGGTGAATTTCTTGAGTACTATAAAATTGGATCAGAAATCCTTATAATTATATTCAGTTATTTAACATAACAGTTTTATATAAGTTGATCCTGTTCTTTATAGTTATTTTATAGTAGTATCTGAAGTATATTGGATGAGAGCATTGTCTACGAGCAATTGCTGCTAAAGGAAATTCAGATCTACAGCGAGATAATATTAGTATTGACTATGATAACAGAAATAATCTGTAGTACTGTGTTGGAAATCTATTCATAGTAGCAGGTCAGAAGTTGCCTTTAGCACAGAGATGATGTAACTTGTGACCTTTCTAAAGAGACAGATAATAATCTCTTTGTTTACCATGAATGCTGTTTTATTGACTTTCTGATTCTCTGCACTATTTCTTGAATAAACTCAACAGCCCTTATCTGAACAAGCAGGTAAAAAAAGGTTCATGTATATTATATAGACCATTTAGGACTCTTCTACCTTCTGCAGTCCTTTTCAATGTTTGGTTTTAAAAACAGAGAAACAAAAGGCTAAATTGTTCAGCTTATATGCAGGGCCTGATTGATTTTTCATTTGTTCTGTAAATCAGTAATCTTTACTTTAAATAAAAGACATTTTAGTTTACTGATCAAAATCTTTAATTTGTAGCTTACAAATGTGTCCTAAGATATCTCTCTATACTTTCCAGATTCTTTTGAATTTTGATTAGGCCAGATAAATCTACCATAATGAGTCATATTTAACTTTTTTTTTAAAAAAAGTATATTTATTTTTCCCTTGACCTTTTTAGATGAAATGTTCATAAAAATTTCTTAGGTCATCAAATGTGTGTGACTCTTTTTGACTAAATTAACTTTATAACCATCATACCAAAATAAAATGCTTTGAAATAAAATGAATTTATTTTCTCGTAATTTGTAAGTCAGGTTTCTTTCTAGTCTATTGTCTAGTTCCCTGAAATTTTTGGTTGACTTAAGGAAGAATTAATTTCTTTACAAATAACATTGTATTTATTTTTAAGAGTACAATGCTTTATAATTTTATCATATAGTTCTATTTTGAACTTTTTTTCTTCTTCTTCTAGCCCATCTTCATTTCACTGGCCAGTCTGTGGACTAGCTTTCAGGATGAAACTGTTTTGATTAGCGTCCTCAGTAGTTTAACCAGTCACCTGGAGCCATTTCTGGGTGCTCATGAACTTCTTTTTCCTGACAGAATAATGCAAAGTCTTCTTGATGATGTGACAGTGAAAACAGATGTGTGTAGAATAAAAGAACATATGGGTAATGGAAACCATTATTTTTTTTTCTAAAATTATCTTTATAATGAAGTCACTCTTTTGCTTTAAATTTTTCATGTTAGATCTTTCTGATAAAGCATTAGACATCTTTCTTAATTATAAAATACTAATGTTCATTATAGACAGTGTGGCAAACAGAATATGTCAACTGGATAGCTTACTAGCTGGCAATAACCACTTCTTATGTAATTATTCTTCATGTTTTGGTTAACAATGATTTTTTGTGTGAATGTGTTTCTATCACAGAATTAGTAGTTTTGTTATTGATATGGAGTAGAAAAAGATATTAATCCTTACTGTATTTGTTGTAAATAAAGTTTTATTTTTTAAAACATTATTTGCTCTATATCTACTTTAGATTCATGTTGAGAATTTATAAATCGATAAATTTTAGTCCTTTAAAGTTAATTGAGCTTAAGCCCTTCAAGAGATGCATTGACTTTGTGAGTATCAACTTTTTGTCAGGAAAAGAACAATAAGTTAATGTTTAAAATGAGTTAATAATGATTTATTTGGAAATTTTAGTCTTCTCACTGGATGAAAACTTTTCCTGTATTTGTTTTTCATTTTAGAAGATAGAGTACGTTTGACAGACTTCAAAAAACTGGAATGGCTTTTCCCAGAAACAACAGCAAATTTTGAAAAGTTATTAATTCAGTATCGGGGATTTTGTGGTTACACATTTGCTACAACAGATGGTCTTCTCCTTCCAGGTATATTATTGGAAATAATATTGTTTTCCTCTTCCCCAATTTTTTTCTCTGTATGAAAACTTTTTTGCCTCCCTTCTCCCAGCCCATCTTCATTGTACTGGCCAGTTTGTGGACTAGCTTTCAGAATAAACTATTTTGATTAGTGTCCTCAGTAGTTTAACCAGTCACCTGACATTGTCACTGACATATTCATATTTTAAAACATGATGGAATCAGATGGTAAACTCTAGGAAAGGAGCTGCAAAAATGATCTAGACAATATCTTTGTCTTGGAGGTGCTTAGAGTATAATTTGATACATTGACATGAACGAGAGACTTTAAATGAAAGTGATAGAATATGTATACAGAATGAGTATTTTTTACTTGAAATGCTTGGATTTTGGAACATTTGCGCATATATGTATGTATGTGTGTGTGTGTGTGTATATATATATATATAAATATATAATGAGATATCTTGAGGATGAGACCCAGCAAAATACAGAATTCATTTGTTTCCTATACATCATGTACACAGTCTAATATAATTTAGTGGGCCTGAGTTTTAATTATGACCTGTCATATGAAGTTAGGTATGGAATTTTATACTCGTGACATCATGTTGGCATTCAAAAAGTTTCAGATTTTGGAGCATTTTATATTTTAGATTTTCAGATTAGGAATGCTCAACTTGTATTATAAAAAGTAGATGCTATGATACCATAGAAAGGGAATAATTCAATGCCCCACTGAAAGATTACAGAAAGTCATACAAAATTACTAAAAATATATCATCTTCTAAAGAATTACTGACAGAGCAAATGACTCTTAATGACTCATGAATTTATTTAAAAATAGTCTTTGTCATTTTGTAGTTATATTTCATTAACATAGATCACTATTTCCCTCTAAGATCCTACTAAGGAAATGGCTAATCTATTATGTAGATTATTAGAGCTTCTCCAAAATAGAGTAAATGAGACATTGAGATGAAATAAATTATTATCCAAAAAATACTGTATAAATTGACAATAAGAAGCCTGGTAGGGCTACAATGAAAACAGTTTGACAGAATTGTTACTCATCTACACTGTTAACCTCTTCCTTTTATCCTCTATTTCTTTTCCATACTACATTTGTTATGTTTCATAGTTGGGTATTGCTCTTTTCTTTATGAAGAATTATTGGAATTGTGTGCATACATGCTAGAAAGGACATACAAGTTGGCTCATTTTTTATGGCATTTTTTTTTCATAGTGGGAGTGAAAAGGGTTTACCATGGGGACATGAGATAATAGTATTCTGAGGCCCTGTGACAATCAGTGATACTGGGGATAAAATAATCAAAAACCATGAAGAAATAAAAAGCAGTGGAATACAGGTGGTTTCTTTTCCTTCCTTCTTCTATTCATATCTCTCTCCCTTGCTCTATCCCTTCCTTCCTTTGTTTTGGAAGGAAGAGAATGGGGCATAAGAGACACACACACAGAAACATGGATGTGGGTGGTAATGAAGAGGTAGCATGATGCAGTTGAAATGCTATGAGCCAGGATTCAGGATGATTCAGGTTTCTTGTCCTAATTGTACCATTTATGAACAGGTAACCTTTAGCAAATTTCATGCCTCCTGTGAACTCAGTTTCCCCTTAGGAAAACAGAAAGTATCAAGCAGGAGGTCTGGGGGGTCTCATCCAGCTCCTAACAACTATGATTCTAAGAAAGAGGGAGAAATAGGAAAATATAAGGGCTTGCAGGACTGTGAAATTCAGACACCCCTCTGGATAAGCTGGTCCTGACTACTTCACTTCTGTTTATTGAATTATTTCTATTTACTATGTTATTTGGGGGGCAGCAGCCACCTGCATTACCTCAGAGACATTCCATAGGACTTCCTTCCTTTCATTTGGGAGTGCAGACCACATGGCTTGAATGCCAAAGTGGCACTGGCTTACCAGTTATGATCCTTTTTAGGTGACTTAACTGCCTATCTGTCCCTCATTCATACTACTACAGCTGCAGTGGACTCCTTGCAGTTCTTGAACTTACTTTCTTTCTTTTATTAATAGGATCCTGCTGTGTCATTCAGGCTGATCTTAAACTAGTGGGCTTAAGTAATCTTCCTGTCAGCTGAGTTGCTGGGACTAGAGATCCACACCCAGACTGTTCTTGAAAATTCTAAATTTACTTTCGCTTTACAGCCTTTCAGTTGGGATTCCCTAAGACCTGTAAAGCTTTATCTCCTCACCCCATCCCCTCATAGCTGTACATCTTCCTCCTTCACTTTAACAAGTGTTCCCTAATTACCCAGTTTAAATATCCATCTCATCTTTTTTTTTCATTATGTGTTTAACGCCCCCACTGTAATGCTGATCACACTTTGGCCTATTATATATTTCTGATTTGTTTAGAGCAGGGATTTTGTTTTCTTCCATATACTTAATGCCAAAAACTGAGTCAATAAATATTTGTTGAATAAATGAAAGAATAAATGAATAAGACAGTATTACTGCTTTCTATATAAATTTTACAAATTATGTGGATATTATACTATATTCTGTATAGAGTTTTTTCACAGTGGAAATATTTCACAGCATGCAAATTTGTATTTTGCAAAAGATGTCCCATTTTTGTAGTTTTCACAGTCATTTAAAAAACATACCTTTAATAGTTAAAATAGATTTGAAAAATCTGCTAAAGGACTAGTTTTTCATAAGGGATTCCTAAATATCTTTCATACAGATAGTGGATAGTACTTCTAACTAAAATAAGTTAAAACCATACTTTAAATAAAAACTAAAAAATAATTTAATATGAGTTTCACATAAAACATCGCTTAATGAAGTATGTAGTTTAAAGTTGTGAACTATAACATTTTAACAAAACTTTGTTAAAATAGAATGTACTAAGAATGGTTCTATAGGTATATGGCCAACATGAATCATTTAATATTTCATACATAATTCAATTCTTTTCCTCAATTTTAGGAAATCCAACAATTGGAATTTTGAAATATAAAGAGAAGTATTACACATTCAATACTAGAGAAGCTGCATATTCATTTGCAGAAAATCCTGAATATTATATTGGTTTAATTAAAGAAAAGGCCAAAAAAAATGCAGAGTTAATTCAGCTACTGGAACTTCATCAACAGTTTGAAACACTTGTTCCATATTCTCAGGTAAGCAAGAATAATATTTAAGAATTTATGAAATTTAGAAGTGTATTTTATATAAGTTATACTTTACTTTAGAATAGTTCCCAAGTTCAGGCAGTGACAAGTTCAGATTAGGGTCTTTATAGGTTATCTGAAAGGGATTCACATCTGAGGATGGAAAATAATGGAATATGCAAAGAATAATGAAATAAAATATAGAGTCAAACTGATGAATTAATAGATTTGAAAACTCTGAAAGAAAAAGAGTATTTAATTGAATAGTTGAGACTATAGTTCCACATCTAAAAATGAATAGAGTTCAGCACAGATAACATAGATGACAACGTACTTATATTCAGAGCTGCAATATAAGTACAATTTAATGGGTTTAATTCCTAGTAGGCTGAAAGACCACAAAATGGATCAAAGATATTTCTTGTTTTTTTCTCTTTTGCTCTCATCATCATTGTATACCTTTTAATTCTTCATTCTGTCTCTCCTTTCTTTCATTGAGCTTTTAAACACACTAAAATAAAAACCATTTTGAAATAACATGATTTCAAATGTTTAGTGTTTGCTATTTTTATCCACATGTAACTATGAAGCAGATGAATTTTGGTACCACTCATCTGGCCAGGAGGGATCCAAGAAACTGTTGGGCTGGTGACAGTGAAGCACAGAGGTAGTCTGAATACATTGGTGGGAAGATCTGAAAGAAAGTGAGGGCTGAGTGTCATTTGGGGTGGGGATGGGATGGAGATGTGTCGGTCAGGACTCTGGACAGCTCAGTTGTCATTGTTCTGAGAGATTGTGTGTCACTCTGTTTTGTGACATTTCGGTTTATTTTTGAATCAAACAATTCTACTGAGAGATTAGCTTCCTCCTATTGTGGCAAGATATTGGCCTTGTCTGTTTAGTGTCCTTCTATATGGGGACCAAATGGTAGACTTACAATATTTGGCTCAATAGAGAGGTTACTCTGAAAATGATTGTACCAATTTAACTTGAGCATATGAAACTTGTCACAAATAATCCTGCCAGCATTTGCTATTACTTAGTTTATAAGTTTTGACAATTTGATTAAAGTGGTCTTGTTTCATTGTGTATTTTTCTGAAAGTAAAATAAAGTTCAGCATCTCTTTTTACATGTATTTAGTCATTCAGGTTTCCCCTTTGGTATATCAAGTATTCTGCATATCAATTCTGGCCATTTTTTTTTTCATATATTTTCTGTTTTTAATTTGTTGATTAGCAATTCTTTATCTATTCTAAATATTAATCATTTATAAGCTATACACATTTTTCTAAGTCTGTAATTTCTCTATTAACTTTGTCAATAAAACACCTTTTTAATTTTAATATAGTCATATCTATTAATTTTTCTCTTTAAAGTCTGTATTGTTTTTGAAGTCTTGTTTTAGAAATCCTTGTCTTTCCTAAGGTGATTGTTTTATATTTTCTTCTGTTTTATTTTTCATGTTTAGGACTTTAATGTATTTGGATATTTTAAAGGGTTTTGTTTTGTTTGGTTTTTGTACTGGAGATTTAACCCGGGGTGCTTTACCACCGAGCTGCATCCCCAACCGTTTTTTTTTATTTTGAGACAGAGCCTTGCCAAGTTGCTGGGGCTGGCTTTGAACTTGTGATCCTCCTGCCTCGGCCTCCTAAGACACTGGAATTACAGATGTTTGCCACTGCTCTGGGCATAATTGCACAATTTTAAAACAATTTCTGTACTGATATCTTACAGCTTTATAATGTGTCTTGATATCTGAATAGAGTAAGTTCTCTCACCCTGTATTCTCTAAAAAGTCTTGGCTTTACTTAACTCTTACATTTCATATATATTTGAGAAGTACATTGTCAAGTTTCATAAAGAAACCTTGAAGGAATTGTGGTTGAAATTGCCTTGTATATATAGATAAGTAAAAAAAGTTCTGACATTTTTACAACTTTGTCTCCCTATCCTAAAATTTCAATGTAGTTTTATAATTTTTCCTAGAAACAGCTATACATATTTTGTTAGATTTATTTGTAGAGACTTTGTTATTGGTTGCTATTTTAAATGTTGTTGATTTTTAGAAGGGACATCATGGTGAGAAAAAGAAGTCAATTAGAAAACTTCAAATGTGGGGATAAATAATTTTAAAATAGTAACACAAAATGAATAACTATAATAATTTTCTAAAAGAAGATGCTACTCTTTGAAGAAAAACTTCAGTTGCTATTGCAAAAAGTGTCTATATGAAGAAGAAATTGATTTCAGTAACATCAGTGAGAATACATTCTAGAAAATGGATTTAACTGGATATTAAATTCTGGTAGCAATTTACTGTCCCAGATGGTTATTCTGAGACCAGTATTTAATGAAGAAGAAAGCCCTGTGGGGAATTCTGGATGATACCTGGAGAAATATTACACTGTGTATAAACCAAACAGAATTGTTTTCTCAAGCATTGTAAAGTTTCATATAGCAGGGTTTTTTTTCCTATAAACATTTCAATTTCATAGCAAGAATGGCATAGAATACTTAAACACAGGAGAAAGCTTTCATGCAAGATATCTAGCTACTTGATATAATAATACATACAATTCAAAATGATTGCACTATCATTCCATCTAGGGCTTGTGTAACTAAAACATGATGGTTATGGAAATCACAGCCCCAGGGTATCAATCTCTAGAAAGCAGCTACCACTGCCTATGTTTATTCTCTTTTTGCATTTTTTGCTAATCAACTTCACTGTTGTTGTTTCTTCAGTTTTCAGTCCTTCAACCTTTAGTCTTTTGGAGTGAAGAAAGTACTGTGTGACATTTAGAACTCTGATTACAAATGGTATTCGAAAATTTTCCTATTTGAAGACTTCCATGACTTTCCTAATCAAGTCATCATAGGATGTCTGACTTAAGTTTGTTTCAAAGCTAAAAAAGAAATTCTGGTTCTGTAGTGAAGTCAGTAGTCAAGTTCCATTCAATTTTATTCTATTCACTGAATTCCCTCAGTGATTGAACAATGAGCATTAATCACAGAATCAGTATTTTGGTCAGCTTTCTTGCTGCTGTGACCAAAAACCTGACAAGAACAATTTTAGAGGAGGAAGTTTATTTGGCTCTCTTGGTTTCAGAGGTCTAACTCTGTAGAGGGCAAACTCCATCTCTCTGGGCTAGAAGTGGGGCAGAACATCAGGGCAGAAGGATGTGACACAGGAAAGCAGCTCAGGATATTGCACCAGGAAGCAGAAAAAAGAGCTCTCCCTTACAACGACAAAATATAAACCCCAAAGGCATATCCTTAGTAATCCACCTCCTCTAGCCATACCCAATTAATCTATAGTTACCACCCAGTTAATCCCTATCTGGGGACTAATATACTGATTAGATTAAGATTCTTAAAATCCAGTCATCTCTAAACTTTCTTGCATTGTCTTACATATGAGCTTTTGGGGAATACATCATATCAAAACCATAAAAACCAGGTATTATGCCACTAATTATACTCTCCTAAGTGATATCCTCTGCTAAAACACCATCTTTCATGTAGAACTGATCCATAATTGCTGTGTCAGGCATCAGAGTTTTCAGGTTTAATCTGTCTGATTATCCACCTATCTGGGAAATCCAGAGTATACAAATGCCAACAGTCAGAATTCATGTACCCTGCTACACTTGTTCTACTTAGGAAGATTGCATTAAGAAACTCTCTTTGTTCCTGGAAAGCCTGGTGTGGGTAGCTGTGGTGACAAGGCATCATGAAATTCTTGGAAGTGTAAGAGAAGAGTTAAATGAGTCAAACCCACTATAATTCCTAGAAAGCTTCAACATGGGAGCCAATATTTTCAGCAAATGATAGTATCACATCTTCAAAATTAAACATCACTTGGATGTAAGCATTTGACTCTGAGTACATAAGCTTCCTACTTGTCAGCTTTTGTCACACTTACGATTGAACATCACACATCCTTCAAAAATATGTCACACTCAGATCCTGGGATGGCAAAGACCTCCAGATCCTTAGTTTGCATTGGATTGCTGCCAGGAGAGCTCAGACCTCCAGCAGCTTCTCTGTCCCTTTGAAAAATGTGCAGCTTCAATCATTGTGAGACTAGAGAACAATCAACAGCTAAATGAAATCTCTTCTACCACTGCTACAGATTGTTTTAGGTATGTTACTGAAGTTCCAGTGTCCTTTAATTTTTACTGTTATTTTATGTTGTTTTTAAAAATAAAAGATTAATAAAAATTTCCTGCTCTTTTTGGACTTGGAGAATAGAGGCAGATATAGTTAATCTCTTTATTATTTCCCAGTTAGAAGTACTAGCTAATGTAAATCAAGGGCCATACTGTGAGCCCTATATGGTGTATATTTATATATATTCCCCCATATATATAAATATAAATATACCAGTGAGAATACATTCTAGAAAATGGATTTAATTGGATATAAAATTCTGGCAGCAATTTAATGTCCTAGCTATTCTCCAGTGATCTTCAGTACCTATGGAAGTTAGTTTTCTCTTTGTATTATCCATAGAGAGCTTATTGTCTCCTTATTTACAATTTCCTTATATTGTACAACACTTCTAATTATGTTTTAGTGTGTTTATCAACCCTACCACATCATATATAACATATATATTCTGCTGGACACACACACATACAGTGTAGTATATATTTTATACTTTTTTCTTACCTTACTGCACTGAAAAGCAACCTTAGTACAATATTAAATAGAAATGGTTAAAGTGGGTACCACTGTCTTCTTTCTTATCTCAGAAAGATATTTTTGATATTTCATGATTGTATTTCATTTTTCATGGATTTTGTTTTATCAGGTTAAGGTTTCTCTTTTAATCTTAGTTGCTGAAACATTTTTTATATGAATGATTATTGAATTATATCAACAGTTTCTATGTTTTTTTGAGATTATGGTGTGACTTTTACCCTTTAATGTGGGTAAAAGTGATGAATTCCTGTATATTATTTTTAAAACTTTTTTTTAAGTTGTAGATGGACACAATATCTTTATTTTGTTTATTTTTATGTGGTGCCAGGATTGAAACCAGTTCCTCACGTGTGCTAGGCAAGCACTCTACCACTGAGTCATAACCCTGGCCCTGTATATTAATTTATTTCTAAGATGAAGCCAAAATTTTTTTCCTTGGATCAATATAACCTGGTTCTGGTTCCTTTTATTTTTAAAAATGTATTCATTGGTCATATTTTTATTTTTCTTTAGAAATTTAAAATTTTACATCTGTATTTCTGTGTGAGACTGACCTATGCATTTCTTTCTCCTTACTCGATTTTCTTGTTTTGATATCAAGGTTGATATACATGTCTTAGTATTGAGTGTAAATAATTATATTTTCTTTTCTATGTTTACTTAGTATTGGAATTATCTGGTAAAGTATGCTTATAAAGCTTTCTGGGTCCCTTCCTACCCCGCCACCCTTCTCTGGTGCTAGGATTGAACTCAGGGTCTGTGCATGCGAGGCAAGCACTTTTCCAACTGAACTATATCCCTGTCTCCACTGGACTTCTTTGATTATAAAAATTATAACTACTCATTTGACTACCAATTTTAAATACTTTTGTGATTATAGGATTTTTCAAGTATAGTTCTATTTCTTTTTGTATTAGAGAGTTTAATTTTTCTAGGAAATTATTCACATTTAAGTTCTTTACTTATTCTTATGAAGATTTCACAATATTCTTTTTTTATTCTTCACATTATCTTATGTCTGTTTTAGGTCTAAATATAGTTCATTTTTTAGTCTTCTCTCTTTTTCTTTCAATTAATCTTGCTAGAGGATTTTTACAGTTTTTTAGTATGTCATTTTATTTCAATGATTGTTCATTTTGATTTTAGTTTTGGTTAATCTTGCCAAAGAACTATTTTCTCAGTTTTTTTAAAGAATTAGCTTTTGGCTTTGTTGATCCCATTTTATCTTTGCTTTCATTTCCTATTTTCTGCTCTGATATTTTTTATTTCCCTTTATCTAATTGCTTTATTTCATTCTGTTTATTTTCTAATTCCTCAAATAGATACTAAGCTCATTAATTTTTAGCCTTTTTATGCAATAAAATAAATTTTCTTTTCACTCTACTATTTATACTTCTAAACAGTTATTTTTTAAAGGAATTTTGTCCTTTAATTTTTTAAAATTTTTTTTTAGTTGTTGATGGACCCTTTTTTTAAGAAAAAATTATTATTTATATGTGGTGCTGAGAATTGAACCCAGTGTCTCACACATGCTAGGCAAGCGCTTTACCACTGAGCCACAACCCCAGCCCTAAACAGTTATTTTCACCATTGTTTAGTTCTAAGTATTTCCTTTTTAAAGGATTTCTTCTTTAGTTTATAGGTTATTTACATTTATTAACTTATTATTTTATAAATGCCACATATATATTTCTTTTGAATAAAAATACATGAAAATATGTTATATGTATGTTATTTACATTTTATATATTATTTTGGAAGTATAATATGACTTCTTATCACAAAAAGCCTCAAAGTTATTTCTGGCCCCTAACTAGTATGTTTCTTTTTTTCCAATTAAGACCAAATCAGTTTTCTTAAGTTAGTGGTTCTTAAATTTGTACAAGTTATAGTCCCTGAAGATCATAATTCTTTTTGATGAGCATTATAAGTGTCACTATCTTATGTTTAATACATGTCATTTTGTGCCTCATTAGATACTATGTTATATAAAATTCTAATTTAGAAAAAATATTCAAAAAAAGACCAATACTTTAAAATTTATGGAAGAAATATATATATATATAAACAAATTTTTAATAAGTAATTTTTCTGCAGATTGGAACAATTTCATTTATCATTCTACTCTGAATTTAAAATTATTTAGGACTTTAATTTATAAGATGGAATCCAAACTCCTTGGCTTGGCATTCAAGGCCTACATGTCCTTTTTTATTTTTCTTTAATTCTCACCATGACCTCTCAGTGTCAGAAAAACAATGAGTTGTATACTGTTCTCAGACTTGTTCAAACTAACCTGGTCTTCTATTTGTTAAAAAAAATTTTTAAAAGAATGTATAAAATTATGATTCTCATGGAGATATAAAAATGAACATGTTTTAAACAGTATAACCTATTTGTTGGTCAGTGAGAGAATCAGTCAGACTTTTTTTTTTTTTAAGTACCAGGAATGGAACCCCCAGGGGCACTTAAACACTGAGCCACATCTCCAGTCCTTTATATATAAATATACTATTTTGAGACAGGGTCTTGCCAAGTTGCTAAGGCCTTGTTAAATTGTTGAGGCTGGCTTTGAACTTGCAATCTTCCTGCCTCAGTCCCCAAGCCATTAGGATTATAGGTGTGTGTCCCTAACACCCTGCTCAGACAGATGTTTTGATTGGTTTAAAAGAGAATCCTAAAAACACACACATTTTTAGACCATAAATATTCAAATTGATGTGAAAATAAAGGCAACATTGATTTTTTTTTTTTTCCTACATGGATAAAAGGAAGTCATTGAAGTACAGACAGGGCCAGGGATGGTAAAGCACTTGTGTAGTATGAATGAGGCCCTGGGTTCAATCCTCAGTACCACACATACAAAAAAAGTTAGGAAAAATTTTACATGTCTATAGTCAAAAATTATTTGGCCTTGTTATCACTTATTTACAATGTACAGAGTTGTAAAATAGCTCAAAGACAAAGCCTAGAATCAGATAACCATATGTTGTCTGTAGATCCTGCAGTTTTCATAAGGTAAATTTTCCCTACACACCTGGTTTTGTTTTTCCCTTTCTTTAAGCCTATTTAATCTCCAGCTGTTCTCTAGTGACCTTCAATACTTATGGAAGCTCATTTTCTCTTTGTATAGTTCATAGAGAGTTTATTGTCTTATTTATTTACCATTTCCTTGTATTATATAGTACTTTTAATCATTATGTTTTAGTATATTTTTATCAACACACCATTCATAAGATAATTTTAAAGGCCAACAGTGCATCAAATGGTAGGTACTTTGTGATTATTTGGTGCTTAAACTTAATGTATTCTCTCTCATCTTTATTATGATTCAAGTTCCTTAACTCTCTGCCACTCCCTCCAACACTGTCACATGCAGCATAACCATATCTTCCTTAGTCTGGAATTACTGAATACTGAATATTGGGCGCCCCAGCCCCAAAACAGTACATTCCACTAAAAATAAAACCCAACCCTCTCTCTGAAAAGCCTTCAGTAATCTTCTATGTATAAAGTTCAAGATTTAAACTAAGGAGATTTATACCTAACATTTAATAGCTATTTTTAATTTCTATCCATTTCTAACACATTTCCACTTAATCCACTGATTATGGAACATGGGGAGGAGCAATTGAATTTCTCAAGGAAAGGAAGGATGTTTTCCTCCTCCAAAATACAACTCCTACATTAAGTTTACAAATCATGCACAAAGCTGTAATGTTCAGAAGAATAATTATGTTTATCTCATCAATTTTGAGTTCTATTTTCTCTGCTGGTATTAACAAGTAGATTTCATGTTCAAAAATTCTTGATTTTTAATTTATTTTCAGTTTTAGCTACATTTGTCTAGTTACCTATAAATAATGTTTATTTTTTATAAGTACTAATTACAAAACTCTTTCTTTAGGTGAGAGATGTTGACAAACATTATATAAAACCAATTACGAAGTGTGAAAGTAGTACACAGACAGATACACATATACTGCCACCAACAATTGTGAGAGCATATGAATGGAATGAATGGGAATTAAGAAGAAAAGCTATAAAATTGGTTTGTGACGATATTTTTTAAAATTATTCACAACTTGAGTAATTTTAATGTGTCCATAGATTTGATAAGTTTTTTTATATAAAATGAGTCCTATACAGTTCTTTGCTAACATAAAAAATTATGTTAGCCAGCTTTACTTGGTAAGATTGTCTTCTAACTTTAAGCATATATAAAGATACAGAAGCATGAAACTACTCTCAAATGACATCTACCAGTGACTACAAAGTGTCTTAATAGTTTTAAAACTTGGAGCTAGTTTGTAAAGCTCTCTTAACTTATTCTAATCATTTAAAGCATAGCCTTCAGTTTGGGAACTTTTTAGGTTAAATCATCTATTTTTTCCTCTTACTGTCAACCTTTTTTGTCGAGATGCTGGACTATCATCCTTTTGATTCTCAGTCACCCTAATCACAACAAGTGCCTTATTCTTAAAGCCTGTCTTTGAAACTCTCATTCCTATCCAACTCAGTGAAATCCCCCCAACTTGTATCTATTTATAGTATCTTATAATTTTAAACATCAAATAGTTGCAGTATGAATGAAATAATTTTTAAAAATATTTGTAGCATTTTGTTAGTATGTTTTACCCATTTCTTTAACTGAAATCAGGTGTGGAAATAAATGAAGCTGTCTCAAATGTGAATCCATGGAGGCTGTTTACTCAGAGATAGCTGGGGCAAGGGAGTCAGCATCATTACTTGAGTTTGGCAAACTCAAAAAGCAGTCAGGGAATGGAAAAACTATAGTGAGAAAAGGGAAAAAGTTTCAGTTTTCTTGGATGAGGTTGATGATATGGGGAAACTGGAGGCAATCTAACAAGAAGCAGGGCATCTCATGAGATCTGGTTTGGTGAATATATTTGACTTTCTTTGGTTAGTTAAGAGTTGGGGCCAAAAAAAAAAGGGGGGGGGGAAGCTGGCCAAGTCCTGCCCATTCTGGGCCAGTTGCTATGGCTACAGAGGTTGTCTTTTGGGTTCCCAGACTGGTTGATGTAGAGGTGTTGAGTCAGAGAGTTCAATTGTCATATATGATCTAGCCTTTGTTCCTCTTACATATTCAACCTCTAACAGCCTTCCCACTAATTAACATCATTTCTGTTGCCACCCTCTCTGGTGGTAGCTTTTAAGTTACCCGATTTCCTGGCATGAGGAAGGATCAGCTTCCTCATATATATATTTCAAATCAGTGTTCCATTAGCATTCCTGTCAGTTACTCTTCTGTAGAAATGCCCACTTTCCCATATTCTTTTCTGTTATTTACTAAACTCACTTGAGTTCATCAAACACTTATTGAGTAACACTACCTTGTTCTTCAGGGGCTAATTGTCTAGAAAGTGATACTGTTCCACTAAAAACCTTGGAAAGTGGTAAGAGAAGTGAAATAAAAATTCTGCTAAATTAGGTAACACCTTAAGTTGGTCTTGAAATACAAAGAGTCAAATGTAGGGAGCAATGGCAGAACATGATTTTGAGAGGAAGAGGGGGCAGGATAAGTATGGAAATGTTAAGGCAATATATTCAGAGGGCTAAACTTTACTTTCCTATCCCTAAATCACCACTTAATTCTTATTTCCATCTTAGACCTAATTATCCCCTAGAATTGCATCATGTTGAATGTCATGCTTCCTGAGTATTACCAATCCATCCTGTTGATTAGACAAAGCTAAGTTTACTGTTTTATAGCTGCCAGGGAGATACCACTTCAACAGAACATTGGCAGTGTCTCAGAGGAGGAGTAGCAAATTCAGAATTTATTGAGAATCTTAAGTTTGTTAAGGCAGGTCTTTTGATACCTTAGGTGTGTTAGAGGGTTGGATGGGGGTCTGAATAGTTTTGGGTAGGGATCAAGAAAAAGCAGTCCAGCATTGGTGGGAATTACGAAATGAAGATTTTTGAGAAAAAAGATAAAAAGAATCTTTGAGCTTAAACTGTGTATTGATGCTTACTACTGAAGAGTTGACTGTCTTTTAGGATGTTCTTTAATAAACAGTCAAGTGATTTACTTGGGCAAGAGGCTCTTGGAATTGTTAAATTATTCTAGTGAAGACAATGAAATAATAAAATCACATTAATGTAAACTGTGTGTGTAAAGGAAGTAGTTTGGATTCTCAGTCTCCCAAACTCTGATGTGTTTCCTTTAATCCCCGGTGTTTCCTTTAGTCACCTTCTTCATTTACACGCTCTAATGCCTTCTGAGGTTTTCCTTGGCCTTTTGCATAATCTGATCAATCATTAGCCTCCTTATTTTTTCTTTTCAGCACTAGGGATTGAACCCAGGGCTTCACACAAGGTGGGCAAGTGTTCTACCTCTGAGCTACACCCCTACACTTATCTTCCTTTTAATTATCTTCTCTTTGCTTCCCAACTTGTGTAATATGTTTAACCTCATGTTGATTAATCAAGGGAGTAAGCAAAATGAAGAATAATGTAAAATATAATCTGAAAACAACAGTTAATTTTAATACTAAAACAGGGTGAAGACTTTTTTATAGACAATATAAATCTGAAACTTTTATCTTTAAAAAAATAAAACAAGTATGGTGGAAAAAATTCAGGTCATATGAATCTCAAAATATAATAATAAAGGAATTAGAAATATTTTAAAAATTAATTGAGCTAATTGTAACTCTGGATCTGTATGTTCTTTTTGGGGTCCATTTTCCACATTTTATATATTTTTCTACTTCTTAGAAAAGGACATTTAATTTTCTATTATGTTTTAAATTTTCTAACATTCTGATATTTTATAGAAAAATGCTATGTTGGATTTCCAGCTCTGGGGCCCCTTCTCTCCAGAGAAGTCTAACTTTGTATCTTTGTTGCTTGTACAATAAACCTACTTCTTGCTTGCTAAAAAAAAAAAAAACCCAAAA